CGTCTTCCTCCCCCCCTCACGCTCCACCACCGCCAACCCACGAGGCGAGTCGCCGCAGCACCACCACCACCTTTCTCCTCTCTTTACAAAAGCAATCAAATCAGGTCACAATGTCCGCCACAAACGACCGCTACATGACCGACATGTCGAGCGAGTTCAACATTCGCATGGTACGCATGCGTGGCTGTAGCAGGAGGATGGGAGGGGGGGGGGGGGGGGGGGGGGCGAGGGGGAGGGGAGGGGGGGGAACAAAAGCCAACGGGTGCCTCCCAGGTGCTTCCCGACCAGAAGGCTGTGTTTGCGGGTGCCTGTGAGGGCAAGACCACGCCAGGCTTCCTCCACACACACACATACATACACACGCACACGCTCTTTCTCTTGTTCTTGGTGACTACCTTGCTAATGGCAACTCTCTACCTCGCTACCTTTGCTCGCACGCGTGTATGGCCATGGCCTCGCCGCTCGTCGTGACTGGCCACGTTTTGGCTTTCTTCACTTGGCGTCTGTTTTTTGGCAAACGAGCTCACGCGTAGACGATTATTTTCTGATGCGGACAATTTTTTCCTTTTGTAGCAATTTTTTGAGACTCACGCCACACCCACACCCCTTCACCCGCGCAGGGCACCGAGGGCTTTGCTGCCGAGCCGCCGACAACAGTGTGCGCGGCGATCAAGAAGCGTGCGGAGGATACGCCAGACAAGGTTGCGTACAACATCATGCCCGAGGGCGCGACCGAGTGGCAGTCGACAACGTGGAGCGAGTACTACCAGATCTGTCGGCAGTCTGCCAAGTCGTTGATGGCGCTCGGGCTTGAGGCGCACGAGGCGATTGCGGTGCGCGGCTTTAACTCGCCCGAGTGGTTCGCGGCGGATGTGGGCGCCATTCTTGCCGGCGGCGTGGCGGCAGGCATCTACACGACCAACGGGCCAGAGGCGTCGGCGTACATTGTCAGCCACTCTGGTGCCAAGATTGTGTTTGTGGAGAACGCCCGGCACCTTGCGATCATGCTCGCGGCGCGCGACCAGATGCCCAACGTGACCACGTTTGTGCAGTGGTCGGGCGAGGTTGACGCGTCGGTGGAGGGCCTGCTCTCGTGGGAGGCGTTCCTTGCCGCCGGTGCAGATGTGCCGGACGCGGACCTGGACGCGCGGATGGAGGCGACCCGGCCTGGCCACTGCGCCACCCTCATCTATACCTCGGGCACGACCGGTCACCCCAAGGCAGTCATGGTGACGCACGACAACCTGACGTGGAACGCCAAGCTCACGTTCTCGCTCATCTCCAAGGTGGACGAGGAGCACCTCATCTCGTTCCTGCCGCTCTCGCACGTGGCCGGGCAGATGCTGGACATCATCGGCCCGATGATCACCGGCGGCACCATCTGGTTTGCGCGGCCGGACGCGCTCAAGGGCACGCTCTTTGACACTGTCAAGGCTGTCCGCCCGACGGTCTTCCTCGCCGTCCCGCGAGTCTTTGAGAAGCTCGCCGACAAGCTCAAGATGGTGATGGCGGCCAAGGCCAAGGCGGCGGCCGCTGCCGGCGAGACGCCGCAGCCGCTGCCTGAGGGCGCCGTCCAGGCCATGCTCGGCCTCGACCGGTGCCACTACGTGTCGACGGCGGCGGCGCCCATCTCGCTGCAGATTCTGCAGTTCTTCAAGAAGATCGGGATCGAGATCTTCTCCATCTACGGCATGTCCGAGAACACCGGGGCGTCGTCAGTCTCGCTGGCAGGCGCCAACAAGCTCGGCGCCGTGGGCAAGCCCATGCCGCACACCGAGATCAAGCTCGCCGACCCAGACGCCGAGGGTAACGGCGAGATCTGCAAGCGCGGCCGCCACGTCTTTGCCGGCTACAAGGACAACGAGGAGGCGTCAGCCGCGGCCATCGACGAGGATGGCTTCCTGCACTCGGGCGACCTCGGCCGCTTTGACGAGGACGGCTTCCTCCACATCACCGGCCGCATTAAGGAGCTGCTCATCACCGCCGGTGGCGAGAACGTCGGCCCGGTCGGCATCGAGACCTACATCAAGGACCACTGCCCGCTCCTCTCCAACGCCATCTGCATCGGCGACCGCCGCAAGTACCTCTCGCTCCTGGTTGCCATCAAGTGCGAGATCGACATGACCAACGGCAAGGCGACCGAGACGCCCACGCCCGATGCCCTCGCCGTCCTCGCCAAGATCGGCTCCACCGCCACAACCGTCTCGGAGGCCCACGCCTGCGAGAAGGTCAAGGCCTACGTCCAGTCGACTATCGACGACTACAACGAGAACGGCTCCGTCTCGCGTGCCCAGCTCATCCGCAAGTGGGAGTTCCTCCCCGAGGACGTCTCCATCGGCAACGGCTGCCTCACCTCGACCATGAAGCTCAAGCGCCGCATTGTTTACAAGGTCTTCTCGGACGTCATCGAGTCGATGTACGTCGAGGCGTAACCGGCTTCCCGCTTCCTCACCTCCAACAACCCCCGCCCCATCCTGACTTGCTTCTGGTCCTGGTTTCCTTGGTGCAACCGCAGTCTGTAAAGACCTCCAGAAGCGTACCTAACAACCGGACGCCGAGTGCAGAACAAGCTCGACGCAATGATCCCACCCCATCTCCTTCTTACCCATCAGCCCACTGGTCATGCCCCGCCCAACCTGGCACACCACCGCTCCGCCTCGGTCTCAGCCTCCCGCCTCAGCCTCTGGCCTCGGCTTCGGCCAACCCAATCCATCTCACCAGCCATCCCCTCCCCTCCTCCCTCCCCCACACACCACACACCACACACCACACACCACTCACCACAACCACAACCACCACAACCACAACCACCACAACCACACACACACACACACACACGCGCGCGCATACATGGGCCGGGCCAAGAAACTTCGCTCCAAGCAGCGGCAGCGAGCAAAGGCTGAACGTCGCTTCTCCCCGCATGACCACCGAGTGGCAACGCCAAGCGAAGCTCTCCACTCGGCCACATCGTCTGATGCCCTTCCGACTCGTCTCGTTGACCTCCTCTCCGCTCTGGCTTCGAACAATGCTTCCGAGAGGGAAGTCGCCGCTGGCTCTCTTGCATCTCTGGCTGCTTCTCTCGATGCGTCATCGCTCGATGATTCGGCGCCGACCACGTCGGCTGCCTCATCGCTGCCGCAGCCCAAGCGCCGCATCGGCTCGGGTGCTCTGGTCGATGTCGAAGCTCAGGCTCTGTTCCGGAGCGAGGTCATGGACGCTCTGCGGGTGCGCATGTTTGATAGCGTGCTGGCTGTCCGGGTCACGGTTGCTGGCGTCATCCGCAACATCGGCGTGAGCTCGCTCGAGGGTGCCGAGGCGCTGATGGCCAACGACGGCGTTGCCTGCGTGGCCATGAGCCTCAGCAAGGTCCGTGAGGAGCTGGAGGCCGGCGGGCGGTCGCAAGATGAGGTGATGCAGATGTGGATGATGATTGGTCACCTGGCGGCCATTGCCCAGTGCATGGCCGAGGCTACGCCCGAGGCCGCGGCTGCGCTCACCAACGCCGGCGGACTCGCCGAGTGCCTGGTCCCGCTACTGGCCCAAGCCGACGACGTGCCCGGGCAGGTTCTTGTGGAGGCTGCCAAGTGCATCATGACGCTTGCTGACGGCAACCCGTCGTTTGTGACGGCGCTCACTGCTGCTGCCGGCTCTGAGGAGGCGCTGCTGACCTCGCTCCGGCCGCTCCTCGCCGCCGACAACGCGTTGATTGCGGTTCTCGGTGCCGGGGTCCTTCTGGCGCTGGTGAGTTCATCACAGGCTGCGGGAGTGGTCCTCCCCGAGGTTGCGCCTATTCTCCGAGCTGCGGTGGCGGGCGTCGATCCGGCGGCGACCATCGGCGACGAAAGCACCGACGGCGGTGCGTGGCACGAGGCGGTGGTGGCGTCGCGGATGGCGCTTGAGATGCTGACCAACGCGCTGGTGGTGGAGGTTGAGGAGAGCAGCGATGCGGGCGCGGGCGTCGATCCTGTGGTGGCGGCGGCAGTCGGGCCCGGAGCGGTGCTCTCGGACCTTGTTCTTCCGCGCATGGCCGTCCTTCCGGACCAGGTCCACGCGCTCGGGCGGACGCTCGACTCGATCGGTGAGCGAGTGCGGACGTACTACGGCCACCTTGTGCGGGTGGTCGGTCTCGCGACCAATGCGTGGATGGTGCTCGAGTCGGCCGAGGCTGCGGCTGCGCTAGTGCCGGTGTGGCAAGCCACGCTGCAGCTGCTGCGCACGGCCGAGGTCGGCGGTGCAGCCGGCGACGTGGTGGAGCCCGCGCTCACGCTTGCGTCGGCCATCCTGCAGCGTGCGCGGCTCGACGACGGCTGCCCTACGCCGGACGCGTCGCCCGAGGTGTGGCAGATGATTGTACAGCTGGCAAGCACGGCGCCAATGCGGCTGGTCCGGGTTAAGGCCACCGAGGTTGCGGCGCTACTGGGCGCGGCGATGCGTGTGGGCGCGAGCGCCGACGGCGCCGACGCGCTCGTCGCCTTTATCGCCAACCAGCTCGACGACGCCGAGATCGGAGTGGTCCTCGAGGCCGCCGACGCTGTCTTTGAGCTCCTCGCGAGCTCGGCGGTCAACGCGGCGCTCGCCTCCTCGGGCCTTCTCGGCAAGCTCGGCAAGCTGGAGCAGACCCTCACCGCAGCTATCGAGGACGGCATGCGGACCGAGTCGTTGCCAGAGGACGTGCTGATGCGGGCCGACGACGTGGTGACCAACCTCCCGCGGTTTGTCGTCTACAAGCAGCAGCAGATGTCCAAGTAAGCAGCCACACACCCGACTTGCCGGTGCTGTCTGTTTACCTCTCCCTTCCCGCGCCGACGCGCCTAAAAGCCGTCGTACTGGGCGACGTCGACGGCGTCGCCGCCGAACCGGTACACGATGCCGGCGATAAAGATGAAGAGCGACTGGAGGAACATGGCGAAGCCTGGCCAGGTGGTCTTGGGCGTCTTGCCGTCTGTCCGCTGCGTGTACTGGGTGATCATCAGCGCCATGCCCGCCATTACGCTTCCCAGCCCGAGCACAAACGCCACCAGCATCCACAGTCGGGCCGCCATCGGCGAGCCGCCCGAGAACGCGTCTGTGTTCCCGATGGCCTTTGACGAGATGGGCATCATCCTGCGCGTGTGGTTCGAAGTTGGGGAGGGTGAGCCAGAGAGTGCGCGTGCATGCATGTCTGTGTGTGTGTGCGTGTGTGGAGGCTATGCCCATACCCCCGCCCTACGACCGCCACATGCACCCGACCATAGACCATGCCCATACCCCCCCCCCCCCCCCCCCACTGCACACACACCCCCATACACACACCTCGACGTACATGAGAAGGAATAGAGTGGCAGCAATGCCCGGCATCCAGAAGCCAAAGACAATGTCGACGTTGTTGTGGACATGGTTCGAGTACGCCACCGAGTCGATGAAGAGGCCCCAGCCAATGCCAAAGAACACGCCGGCAATGGCAGACACATGCGGCGGCTTGAGGCGGATAACAAGCGGCATGGTGGTAGGTGGGGGTGGTGGCGGTGGTGGCGGTGGGTGGGGGGTGGTAGGGGGTCGGAAGTGAGGTACCACTCCCCCCTCCCCCCCCCCCCCCCCCCCCTGCCTGCCACAGCTCGCACATGCAGGTGTCCCGCCCCACCCACCCCCCCACCCTCACCCCGACCCGCCACTGGAAATGACACAGTTATGTTCAACAAAAGGGAAAAAGAGAGCGCACTCAGATGGTCATGAGCGCAGAAGCACCACCCATGTCGTAGTCGCGCTTGGACGAGCCGCTGCCGGAGCAGCAGCACTTGCAGATGATGGCAGAGATGAGGATGCCGATGATGAGCGAGCCGAGGGCGACGCCGGCGAGGATGTAGTTGTCGGTCTTGAACACGCCGTCGTCCTTGGACGGCGACGAGATGGCCGACGAGCCTCCGGGCGGCGGCGGCGAAGGGGTTCCAGGCGCCGGCGGCGGCGGCGCGGCAGCGACAGTGGGCGGCGGCGGCGGCGGCGGCGACGGCGACGGCGGGACGACGCACGCTGCCGGCGGGACAACCGGCACAATCTGCCCGCGCGCCTCACCCGACGGGATGAGCCACGAGTGCAAGTTGAGGTAGAACTCGCCAGCGTTGAACGACGCGAGCTGCGCCGCCGAGATCGACTGCAGCGACGGGAGCGAAATGGGCGACGAGAGCCACGCGAGCGTCCCGATGTCAAAGGTGAGCGCGCCGTTGGTGCCGGCGGCGCCGAGGTGCATGTGAACCTTGGTCACGTCGCGCTTGATGTTGTGGAGGACCGTGGCGTTCATGGTCATCGCGTTGGCGTCGACCGAGACCGCGATCATGCCGCCGCGGGTCGAGAGGACCGGCGGCACCTCCTGCCCGCCGACCGCAGACACAGAGCCGTAGTTGAACTCGGAGACCGCCACCGTTCCGCGGAGCTCGCCGCCCGGGTTGGTCACCGAGTGCAGGTTGACGTACATTGTCTGCGACTTGAGCATGCACCGGTGCTCCGGCGCAATGACCAGCGAGCCCACAACCGGCGAGACGGACGCTGCCGGCGTAGCTGCAAACTCGTACAGCGCAGCACCGCCCGACGCCTGATGCAAGTGCACCTTGGTGGCGTCCGGCACGGTGTGCCAGATCGCGTAGTCGAGCGTCGATGACGCCTCGTTCCACGTCAGTGCCGCAAAGCCAGTCCAAGGCGAATCGACAGGCGTCGCCTCCTCCCACCCGCTCAGCCGCACCATCCACGAGATGCTCCCCGCAGGCACCACAGGCGCCGCCACGGGCGCAAGTGCCTCGATCTGCGCACGCACAGTGCCCTCGGTCACAGACATGACCTCGACGTACGCGAGCCCGGTCCGCGCCGCCACAGCAATCTGGCGGTCGACCATAGACGTGCCTGCAGACTCGCTCTGTCCGCACGGCCCGACGCAGAGCGACTGAAGCGCGCTCCCGGTCTCACCCGCCTTGTGCGGCGCAGCAATATCGGCCGCAGTCACCGCTCCGCCCGTGTACGTCGTCATGAGCGAGTAGGTTCCCAGCGACGCGCCGCCCGGCATCTCCTCCTCGTATGTCGTGATGAGCACGCTCGTCGCCGCCGACGTCTGCGGGCTCGCGCCGTACGTCCGCGACACGTCCCACACGCTCGGTGCCGCCGCGTACGTAAACTTGGGCGCCGTGATCTGCCCGCGGATCGCACCCGCCGGGTGGTTCACCGTGTGCACGTTCCAGTACGCGTTGCCGGCCACAAAGTCTGCGGCCTGCGTTGCCGTGAGCGGCGGCGTCGAGCCCTCGATCCCGTTGCCCGCCGGCGAGTCGGCCACCACAAACATCTTCGGACCGTTTGTCCCGGCCGCGCCCTGGTGGAGGTGGACCTGTGAGACTGCCGACGCGAGGTTGACCCACACCACGCGGTAGTCGACCGTAAAGTCGACAGGGTTGAACGTCGCCACGGCCACGCCAGTCGCCGCAGACGTCGACGGCGGCACCTCCTGCTGCTTGTCCAGCCGCGCCACGTGCGTGATCTGTGACGCAGGCGCAATCGCCACCTCGGTCATCTGCCCGCGCACCGCCCCGCTGCCGGTCGGCATCTCGTCCGTCCGCACGATAAACGAGGTCACGCCCACGACCCGGTTAAAGTCAAGCCCAACGCTCGCAGCGGTAAAGGTACCAGTCACCGCGCCCGAGTTGGCGCCCGAGCCCAGGAACGTCACCGCGTCCGGCACATAGCCGGCCGTCGCATTGACTCCGAGGTGCACCGTCGCGCCCGCGCCGACAGAGTCCGTCGCGTACACCACCGTGTAGCGGAAGCTCGAGCCGGTCGCATCGAGCGATGTCATCAGTGCCGCACCGCGCGCCACCACCGGCTCGGTATACGTCGCCTCAAAGCCCGAGAGCAGGCCGGCCGCCCGCGGGAGGTATGTCGTCCCCTCTGAGAGTTGCTGGTAGCTGAGCACGCCTCCGGCCACAATGCCGGTCCCGTCCGCCACGTTGACCGTCAGGCCCGGCGCCGCAAAGAACTTGGCCGTCTCGGTCACGTTGAGCGGGCCATCAAAGGTGTGGACGACCGGGGAGTCACACGCGCCAGCACCGGTGCACAGCACGTAGTTGCCCACGCTCACACCGAGCGCCGCGCTCGCGTTGTGCCACACCTGGACCGTCAGCGACGACGACGACGCATCAAACGCGCCGAGCGCCACGCCCACTACGTTCGAGCTCGCCACCGCGTCGAGATGCCCGGCAAAGTTGAACTGCGAAGGCGCCGCCGTCGCATCCAGCGCAAACGTCTGCCCGCGCATGTACGCCGACGACGAAGTGTGGAAGTTAAAGTAGTATCCGCCGTTGGCGAGGAGGTCGGCGTTGAGACTGTCGCAGTTACCGGTCCGCGACGCAAGAAAGTCGCAGACCTTGGTCCCTTCGCGCCCGAGCGTGTTCTGGTGGATGTGGATGGCCGTAATGTCCGGGTGCGCCACCGCGACCTCCATCGAGAGTAGGCCCGTGACAGTGTTGACCTGCCAGAACCCAACTGCTCGAGCCATCGGCCCAGCCGCAGGGTCGCGGACCGTCTCAAACACGTCCTCGGCCACCACGGCGCCAATCAGCATGTTCGGCCCGGCCGAGTAGCCCGCAGCCCACACGTCGCCGCGGACCTCGCCAGACGGAAAGTCGACCGTGTGCACGTTGACGTACGTGTTGCCGGCCGAAATGAGCGCGCCCCATTTGCGGTCGACAGGCGTCGACGTGCCCCAGCCGGTCGTCGAGAAGAAGAGCTTCTCCGACCCCGAGTGAAGGTGGATGCCCGTGATGTCGGACGTCACGTTGGTCACCACAGAGTACGTGATCCGCGCTGTCACAGGGTCCCACGAGAGGACCGCCACGCCACGCGCCGTCGTCGCTGCAACAGGAATCTCGTTGTATCCGTTGAGCACCGCCACACCAGTCGCAGGCAGGGCACGGACAGCCGTACCCGTCGCAATACCCGCACATGCCAGAAGGCATGTGACTACAAGTACCGAGAAAATACCAGCCGTGTTCATCCGTCTGTTCTCCGTAATGCAGCCAAATACAGGTGAGCGAGAGGGGGGAGGGAGTGGGGAGGGAGTGGGGAGGGAGTGGGGGGAGAGGGAGGAGGAGAGGAAAAAAAAAGGAGCCAACCGCCGAAAAAGGGCACAAACCAGAGGTGGAATGGTAGCGGTGAGGCAAACAACATATTCACACACACACACACACACACACAGGTGGCAAAGAAGGGAGGGTGGGGGGCGGGAGGGGGGGGGGGGATGCAGGGGGGAGGGAGGAGGAGGAGGAGGAGGAGGAGAGAGCATAGCGGTGGTAGGGAGGACATACGGTTTTTTGTTGCCACAGAGAGGAAAGTGGTCGTGTGCTGCGGTGTGGGTGTGGGTGTGGGCCGTCCAGGGGCTCAGGAGGGGGGCGAGTCGGTGATGGAGGCGCGGAGAAGGGCGAAAAAGTTGGGCGCGTGAATTGGCGGAGATGCCAACACAAAAAAAAAGATTCTAAAGTTGGTTTCGACCAACATTCCGCTTCACCCACTGGCCAGGTTTTTACTTCGACTTCCACAGCAGTTTGGAAGGAACGGCGACCTTCCAACCATCCCCACCATGAACAGCATGGGCATGACTTGACTGGGTAAACCAGGTTGAAAAGGTGCAAGGCTTTGTTGACGACGGATCGACGAAAAACACAGGTACCATGAGCAACAAGCTGCAACATATGGCGTACGAGTGCAAGGGCTTGCATGGGCCCGGGGTCAAGAGCGTGTGCGAGGTGCGGAGTCCTGGCGAGGAACTTTTTTCCGTCGACCGCATCATCATTCCCATTTTCCAGCGGCGGTACTGCTGGACGGCAAAGGTGGTGACCACGCTTCTGTCCGACGCCATGGATGCCGGTGCCACGGGCCGCCACGCCATGGGCAAGGCCATTTTCGTGCCGGGCGCCCAGGACCGGACCCTGGTCTGCGTCGATGGGCAGCAGCGGCTGACTACGGTCTCGCTGTTAGTGGCGGCGGTGGCGCGTGTGGCGCGCGCCCGCGCGTGGTGCGACGAGCTTGAGCGCGATCAGCTGCTGGCTGCGTGTCAAGCACTGCTCTGGAGCGACGAGCCGCCAGCGTCGGGGCCGGACGGGGTCGTTGAGGGCGAGGACGTGCCGAGCGCCCGGCTCTCGCCATCGTATCCGGACCGAGCTCCGTTCTTTACAGCGGCGATGGGCGGAGATCCGGCTGGGCGCCCGGCGCGGCGCGATCGCTAGTCCCGGCTGCGTTTGCGGCTGCAGTAGACGTCATCGATGCGCTCGCCACGCCTCGCCTTGCGTGGATGCTCCAGGCCATCAGCTCGGGCCTCTCGTTCATCCACTATGAGCTCGCCTCTGCCGAGCACGCCGTCGACATCTTCCTCTGGCTTCAGGAGCGGTCGATCTTCACCCGCATCTTTGCGCACGTGGCCAAGCCCGGTGTCACCCTGCGCGCCGCCGATCTTCTCCGGAACCTTGTCCTCTCCGAGTGGACCAACGATAGCGTCGCCGAGCAGACGTCCAAGTACGTCGAGCTGTGGCTCCCGCTCGACACCAAGTTTGCCACCGCCGACGCCTTTGACGCGTTTCTCGCTGCCTTTGCCGCCCACCTCTCGGCCTCGGGCGAGATCGAGGCGCTCACCCAGGCCGCGGGCGAAGATGCCGCCGCACACGCCACCGTCGCCCTTGATGACATGGTTCGGACCCTTGCCTCCCGCATCAACGCCCCGGGCTTCACCCCCCGGACTTTTCCAACATCGAGCTCTACTTTGCCCTCGCCACCTGGGTCCGACTCTCTGCCGTCGTCCATCCCAGCGACACCGGCATCGCCGAGCACATCATTGCCCGTCTCTCGCAAGCTGTCGCCGACTATGCCCCGTTGTCAGGTGAGGTGTCTGCGAGCGAGCAGTAGCACACGAGCTGTAGCTTGCCAGCCTTGCGCGTTTCTCATCAAAACAACACGACTTTGTGTGCATCGTATCCAACCCGCCCGCCCGCACTTTCCGACGCAAGCATTGGACGAATCCAATACGTGCACCCCCCTCCCTGTTCAAACCCGCACCCAAACATGTGCCCAAACCCATGCCCATCATGACCCCTTCCTTGATCCGACTCGCCCTGGCGTCGGGCCACTCGCACCACAACCCGTCGCCACACCTGGCGTGCACCCACCGTCCACCATTCCCACCCACCGCCCCAGTCACACCACTCCCTCCGCACGTCCACCCCACCCGTTCCCATCATGTGGTACCTGCACACAGTAGTGACCATGGCCGAGTCGACCCTCTTCACTCTCCAAGTACGCCCCTCGCCCTTCTCCACCCCCCCCCCTCGCGATGGCCCAGGCCCTCCACTTTATGGTTCGTCCCGACTCGGCACTGCGGCTGTACTTTGGCGATGACTTTGTCGAGTCGGCGCCGGCGAGGACACTCACAGCACTGCGGATGACACTGGCAATCGCTGGCGCTGCGTCGATCGTTCTCGCCGCGCTGCTGTGTGTCTCGGCACGGTTCATGTCCAAGGCCAAGTGCCGATCGCTCGGCCAGGCCCATGTGGTGGCTGCTGCCTTTTTCGGCTGGTCCATCTTTGGCTCGACTGCTCTTGTTGATGCCGGCTTCCCCATCCGCCCGTACATGCTGTGGGCGGTGGTCAACGGCCTGCTCGGCCTCTTCTTCCTCACCACAACCTCCATCGCGCGCAGGTACGATCCGTCTGCCATGCCGCCGCTCTCGAGTGATGACGCCGCTGCGGCGACCAAGTCCGAGTAGCCTGACCTCACCACTCGCCGGCCTCCAGCGCAATCCCGTCGCCGTCGCGGTGGACGTCCGGCTCGCCGCCGTCGACCACCAGATGGTCCATGTCGTCGTAAAATGCCACCCGGTGGTCGAGCTTGCCTGCCCGCCACGCCACCGACAGCTGCCACAGCTCCCAGAAGATGGCGAGGACACAAATGGCGAGGACGCTGCCGATGACCGCCCACGCGCTGCCCGTTGCCACCGCCCGTGCCTCGCTCGACGGCTCCTTCTCCGAAAGTGCAACGCGCCGAGGACCGCCATCGCCACCAGCAGCGCCTCAAACACGTTCGAGAACACGTTATGTGTCCGCGAACGGTACGGCGACGCATGCAAATGCATGCACAGCGAGGTGAGGAGGAGCGCAAACACAAGCGCGAGCTGAAAGTACGCGTGTTGCGTCATAAACAGGTCAAAGACAACCACCCCGAACCGCTTCGCCATCAAGCCCATCTCCCAAAAGTACGTCCCGGCCCGGTACCGCGCAAAGAGCGAGCCGTAGAGCGCCACGTTGCGGGGCGAGTCGAGATCGTGCCGCGCCTGGTAGAGTGCAAAGCCCATCCCCAGCGGAGCGCACACATACGCCACAGACGTCACCAGCCCGAGCGGAAACAGCACCCACCATCCCCCCACGTAGCACTCAACTTCGGGTGCCGCATCCAAGTAGAACCTGCCGTTTGGCAGCGCCGAGCAGTCAAAGAGCTCCAATGCAGCCTTGGACGCCGGAATGTACAGTGGCGGTATCATAATCACTGCTGCACGGACCAACAGCAGCAGCGAGTACTGCTTGGTCGGCCGCACGAGTCGGAGCAGTACAAAGACGCTGCAAAAGACCAGCACCACAACGAGCGGAAAGCAGATCGCGAGCACGTAGCGCGCCCCAAAATCCGTCACGCTGCACCCGGTCGCAAACGTCCGGGACGAGAACATCAGCATCGACGAGAGGACAGAACCGACCGACGACGTTCCCACCGGCCACGAGAAATCCATGCCCAGCAGAACTGTCATGATCTGGAGTGTCGCAATCGCCAGCGAGACATGCACAAACGCAAAGTTGCCCAGCCGCGACGACTGAGCATCGCCCGTCGCCCGAGACTCAAACATCGCCGCCTGTGACCCGTAGATCGCCGTGGCGAGAACAGCAAGCCCCATCAAGACTGCGAGCACAAAGTACAGGCTGACAAGCGCAGAGCTTGCCGGCGGACACCGCTCGCACGCTCGCGCGTCAAAGTAGTACCCGGCCTGGCACTCGCGGCAGAGATGTCCGCCGTACCCACGCCCGCATCGCGCACCTGGGCCGACGTAACTGCCGTTAGAGCCCTCGAGTGCGCCAACACACGCCGCCGATGGCGTGCATGGCGTAAAAAGGTCGTACTCGAGCGCCCACCAGCCGTCCAGCGGCTCGGGCGCCGCAAGCCGTCCCGCACAACGCGCGCCGCGCGGACACGCCCCGCAAGCCAGCCCACTCACCCCTGGCCTTGGCGTATACCGCCCCGCAGTGCACACGCATGCGGCCCGGATCGCAGAGCCCTCTGCCGAGGTCGTCCCCGCCGGACACACGCTGCAGCTTGTCGCGCCCGTCTCTGTGTACGTCCCCTCCAGGCACGGCGAGCACTGGCGCGACAAAAACGACGAACCGCTCGCCTCGACCGTCCCCGGTGCACACGCAGTAAACACCGTTTCTGCGGCCGTCGGGATCGCCGTCAGGGCCTCGGAAAACACTTCCCGCGGAACGCCCGCGCCTGGAGCACGTATGGTGACGCCGCCCGCAGACCGCCCACATGGATCGCCGGCAGATCCACCGTCGTATTGAACGCTACAACGCCGCCGGGTCGGCCATTGACAAACAGCACCACCCCGCCGGCAATGCTTCCGCTGCCTGGAGGCAGCGGGATCGCCACTTCAAGCGCCTCTGTCCCCGCCGCAAGCACCGTCACCCGCATGCTGTCAAGGTCCAAGTTGATCTCGCATGCACGCCCGCCCACGATCCCGAGCTGCACTCACAAAGTCCGACGTCGACGCATGCGCCGTTGGAGCATGCTGGGCGGCAAAATGGCTCGTCGCCGTCTTGCCCGCCACGGTTCTCGTCCACGTGCAGGAGCGCGTACCCGCCGTTGAACCGGTCCACGCCTCTAGCGCCCACCGCCAACATGTTCCCACCAGCCACAATCGCCGCGCCCAACAGCGTCCGATCGTTGGACAGCGGCTCCTCGATGGCCGCAAACCAGAGCCACTGGCTCTCAGCGCTTGCGTTGCGCCGGAGCAGGACAAGCTCGCCACGATCGCCACCCGAAGGGTACGTCGGTAGCCCTATCCCAAGCACATCCATCGCCTCGGCGTAGACCAGGCTGGCGCCAAATCTCGAGTCGATGACCCGCTGTGGCACCACCGGGTTCGCCACCAGCGGCTCGCGGAAATGCGTCACCGCCGTCCAGTTGCGGAACGACTGCCCGCCGCTCAACACAGCCACAGCCTCGGCCGCATCGTACGGGTTGGCCCCCTCGAGACGGTACTCAACCACAGAGCCGACATTGCTAAAGTCAACGTCGCGCGGGCAGCCAGCAAAGATCGTATCGTCTGATGCCGCGAGCGCGCTTCCGCAGTACTCGCCAGACGACGCCGCTGACACGGTACAGTCAGGCTTGCCGCCGAGCGGCGAGACCAGAACGGCTGTCGACACAAAGTGCGCCGGCGACGAGACCGACACCGTCGAGTCGAGCGCAAACACATACACCTTGCCTTCGTTTGTCTGCACGTTGCCTGGACAGGTCACACCGCCATCGCCGCGTGGCGCGCCGATCGCCAGAAATAGGTTTGGCGCGAGTCCCTGGCCGGCATTGTCCAGCACCACGTTCTGCAGCACGTCAAGCTCACCGGCATCGCTCGACGGCAGCGCCTGTGGCTTGGTCGGCTTCGAGCTCCGGTCCGCAAAGTAGTAGTCGTACGCAAAGCCTGAATTGAAGGCCAGTGCCGTGCCAAACTGCACCCCCTCCACGGTGTTGCTCGAGCTGCCGTGGATAGCGCCGGCATCGATCGTCGCGTTGCTGGGGTAGAGGACGTGGACGTTGTCGGATGAAAAACTGCCCGACGTCGACGTCCGCCAAAACACAAACACAGCGCCGACCTCCTGCCCGAGCAAGTTCGAGCACAGCCGCGGTGCTGATGACGCCACCAGCCGCGCGTCAGGAGAGATGATCACGGTGTTGGCCCCGCCAATGAGATACCTGGCGAACTCGCCGCACATCGCATCGCTCAGTATAGGCGGCTGCAGCACTGATTCCAGCTTGAATCCAGCTAGGGTCTCTGGTGTGCGCATCGCCTTGTACACAAACAGTGCGCCTCGGGGAAACGCGGCCATCCCCGCCAGGTTCGTGCCCACCACCAGCCACTTGCCCGATGGATGCATGGCCAAGCTGCGGCCAAACTGATAGGCATCGCCATACGGCGCAATGTCCTCTGGGGGCTCCAGCACAACCTTTCGTGCATAGTCATCGCCCTCACGCTCGTAAATCAGCACCCGGCCACGGAAGCAATCCGATGGGCTCGACGGACACGTGCCAGCTGCCTCGTACAGCGGCGCCGACACCGCCAAAACGCCTCCAAACCGCGACATCGCCAACGCCGACCCCAGCTGTTCTCCTGTTGCGTTGCTATCCATCTTGAGGTCGTCATCAATGGTGGTAACCCGTCCTCGGAACTTTTCCTCGCGAGCCAGAGGATGCACGCCACCACGCTGCGCCCTCGACACGTTTGCCGATGGCGACAATGGAGCAAAGCGAAAGTTGGCAAAGACAGGGGGGCCGGCCTCCGTGTTAAAGGCATGGCACACGCAGCCAGCCAGAAGCCCCACACCCACCACCGCCACGAGCACCGGTAAAGAGTGTATGCGCATGTATTTGCACAGGTAGAGGGGGGGGGGGGGGGGAGCATAGCGTGCACGGCTTGTCGGGTTTTTTTTGCCGGATGATTTCGATGTGTCAGTGAGGGTCAGATGGCCAGCAGCCAGCGTTTGGCAGGAAGATGGTAGGGTCTTGACAGAGCGTGTTACTGCTTTCGCGCGCGCCCGTGTGTTTGTGTGTGTATGTGTGTTTGTGTGTGTGTGTGTGTGTGTACAGGAGAGGGGGGAGGGGAACGGGGGTGGGGGGGGGATGATCGCGAATTCAATGATCAGGCGATATGACATCCTCACTCGAACAACGCCGCACCCATGCACGACTTTGGGCCCACTATGCGGGGAATCGATGGAGGATGGTCATGTTCCGCAGGACGTACCAGTGCGGGAGAGGACGGATGCAGACGTGAAGCTTACCGGCTTTTGCAGCGGGGAGCGAAGAGATAGCATTGGCGACGGTCTTGCACTCGTCGCGGTCGTTGATGTGGGCGATGGCCCAGTCGGTGGATGCGACCGAGACAAAGTCGACAATGGCAGCGACAACGTCCCGAAGCATGTACTCTTCGCCGAGTTGGTTAAGGGCATCAGCAAGGTCCGAGCGGGCATGCGCCTGCCACGGCTTGTGGACAAAGATGAGAACGGCGCGCGCCTGTGGCACGCCGTGCACAAACTCGCCCTCGTAGAGGACAGCCTCGCGCGGAATCGACCGAAGGGTGCCAAACCCATGCAGATCGTACCGATGGCCTCCAAAAGTCCCGACGTAGCTCACACCAAGCTCCGGCATGATCCACTCGCCGTCGACCGGCCGCCCGTTCGCAAACGTGCCGTCGACAATCTCGCCGTCACCGAGGCGCAGCACGCCCGACACCGGCTGCAGCGTCTCAAACCGGCCCTCGAACATCACCCCATTGCCGTACACAATCTGACCAACGCATCCGTTGTCGTACCCAAGCGGCCGGGCCCGCCGGCTCGCCTGAAGCTCTCTCCGCGGCGCATCCCACACGCCCGAGAACACGCTCCCATCGAGCTCGGAAACAAACGAGCCGGGTCCCGACCACTCGCCGCGCTCAAACCACCCGTCGTACACGCCGGCCTCCATCGGAAGCTGGAACACACCGGCGCCATGCCGGAACCCGCCGCGGTGGTCGCCGCGGTATCGCCCGGCCTGCACCGCAGGCGCCAACGGATCGCACCCGCTCTCGTCCTCCCACACCTCGTGATCGCCGCATCCAGTAAAGGCGTCATCGGCAAACGAGCCCACAAACCGCCCATGCTCGCACACAAGCTCGCCATACCCGCTCCGTTCTCCCTGCTCAAACGATCCCACGTACCGCGCTCCAGACGCAAACAGCAGCATGCCGTGGCCGTGCGGTAGCTCGGTCTCGACATCCACATGACCCTCGTACCGCCACGGCGTTGTGGCACAGCTCCCCTTCCGCAGCGGCAGGGGAGCTGCGTCGCCCACCACCATCGACTCGCCTGACGACGTCAAGTCCATCATTGAGCCCACCTCTTCCGCTAGCTTGAGCGAGAGCTCGCCTAGCGCCAGAGTCACTCGCCGCTCCTCGCGCTCCTCGCGCTCGAGCCACGAGTCGTGCGATGCCGTCCGTCGTCCGCTCCCGTTGCCATTACCCCCCACTGGAAGCTCCGTCGTCGTCCGCGCCGCCAATCGCAAGTACGATCTGGGCACTGCAAACACAACCTCGGCTTGCGCTGCTGCCAGATCGCTCAGCACGCTCCGACTGCTGGCCGACGTCCACCCCGAGCTCGATCGATTCGACGACGCCGACCTCGAGAGCGAGCCTGAGCTCGCTTGCGGCGACCGCGACGCTCGCAGCTTGCTCAGCGGCGAGAGGTCGAGCGATTCCGAGAGCTTGTCCTTGGAGCTTGCCGTCGCTGCCCGGTTTAGCGCCGAGACAACCGACGACCCCCTTCTAGCTGCGAAAGCGATGCCGGCCGCACCCGCGACTGGCGCCGCCTGCGCCGCGCTCCCCACGGTACGTCCGAGACAATCACCACAGACATGCCACCTAACATGCCCGAGATCCGCGCGCTCCAGTCAAAGAACTCGGGAAACGTCTCTGCAAAGGTGAGCCACTCGGCAAACGTCACCACGTCGCACGACGTCGTTTGCGCCACCGCCATCACCCACGCCACATCATCCGCAGCTGATGACAAAGCGTAGCGCGCCATGCGCCGAACAGGCATCGTACTGGCTGCCTCATTGACCCACCCCCGCTCCGAGCTCACACGCCGCGAAGAGTGTGCGCGGTGCGGAAGCCGAAGCACCTCGCGACCGCGGTCGCCATCGCTGCTTGTCCGGCGATGCCGGACCCGCCGCGACCGCCGCTTGCTCAACCGCGGCGACTTGCTCTCGCTGCGTCTTGCCGTGCCCGTCGCTCGGCTGATAGTCACGTCTGCTACTGAGAACAACAGCTCGAGCTCAACCTTGGACAGCTCGCCGTTGCCGTCGCAGTCGTAGCAGTGAAAGAGGAACGAAGCCTTCTTCTCCACAGGCGTCGCCGACATGACCATCCCCAGCCCACCTACCAACTCCAGACAGTCGATCGTGCCCGAGCCGTCGACATCAAAGGTGTGAAAGGCGACCCGAGTCCAGGTCTCGTTCGACAAGACCGCCGCCTCGTGCGCCGTCACGCCCCCGGTCTCAGCATCCGCCACTGAGAGCGCCGTCGCCAGGATGGAGCACATCACCACAAAACGATTTTCAGTCAGCATAGTGTCGACCGAGAGCGCCTTCAGATCGGCATCGCTCAGGCCGGCTGTCTTGGACGACGGCATGGTGCCGAGCACAAACTCGACTGTGGCAGTTTTTGAACACCGTCAGACGCACATATCCAATGCGACACGGATCGACAGCAAACGAACAGTGAGTGCGGCTCCATCCCCCCCCCCCCTACCAAATTGCTCTTTTCACCGAACCCAGACCCGCACCACCACCGTACCCCATAGGGCCTCGACAAGGCGCTTATTGAGCGCTGTCCATCTCTTTGCGGCTGTCACAAACTCAGAGTATGTAATACGCTCGTTCGCTTTTCGCGAGCTCCGCGCTCCCATGCCTCGCCGCCCAGCTTGTTGCGGTTGTGTGGGTAGAGTCGAGTGCTGCCGTTGCTGAACAACTTCATTCTACGATGAGGCCAAAAATTGCCGCTCGACCTTAATTGGCATCCATGACCAATTTGGCCTGTCATGTGGCCAGCCTACCACGAGAGGTCAACGCTAAAGCGTTTGGTGCGCGAGGCACAGCCCAGCTGCACGGCTTGCCCATCGCCCGTGTGTAGTACCCACATGCAACTGCCCGCTAGCTGTGATGACGTGCAATCCTTCTTTGCACATTTGATCTTCGCTTCTATCGCGCCTCCAACTACCCAGCCATCCTGCCTAATTGACAGCGTACAAAGTCGCCGCTTCAGTGCCTCAAGCCTGCCAGCCTTTGCGTGGCGGCCATGGCGTGACGAGGCCTGTGATCGTAAGAGCATGGGCTATGCCAACGTGGGGCGAATGACCTGGACATCGCGCTCGTCGCCGTCGACGGGAACGACATGGAAGGCCTCGGTCGGCTCGCGCTCGCGCACAAAGACCGAGTCGAGGACAGCCTGAACCTTGGCCACTCTTGCGCCAGCGTTGGGCATGTGATCGTAGCCACGGACCTGGGCCTGGATCATGTCATCGCAGAGGACAGCCAGATCCATGACGTGCTGCGCGAGGACCGGCCCCGCGACCAGCTCGCTACTCGGCACGTCTTGCCACAGCGGCGAGCGCGCATACATGCCCGGCCGGACGTGGAGCCGAACCGTGTAAAGGCCTTCGCCGCGCGGCTGGATGACGATGCGAACGCAGGCCGACGACGGCGCCACGGCCTCGGACGCGCAAAAGACAACCGAGACAAGGCTCTCATCACGCCGCAAGCCCTTGTGCAAGCCACGGAGTCGCATCTTGATGCGCGAGACCGGCGAGGCCCACTGCCACTTGCCCTCCAGCGCCCCGGTCCGCTCCACAAACGCCAGGCCGTCGGCAAACAGGCTGCTTGCAAGGAGATCCTCACCGGCGAGCTCGTGCGCCGACGCGTCCACAAACGCCACGTCAATTTCGTGGACAGAGAACGCCGTCGGCAGGCTGTCGAGCTCTCCAAGCGCTGCGTACACCGCCTGCCGGCTTACATCATCCTTGACTACCAGCCACTCGTTCGAGCCGTGCCCTCCGACCGACCCACTCTCAAACGAGAACGGTGCCGGTACCAGGTGCGCCATCATCATTGACGCGTCAGTCGCCGCCCGTCCACCACCGCGCATTGACGGCATCGGCTCCATCGCCTCCTCTGCCGACACCTTGGCAGGGTACGGTGCCAGCTCGCCGTCGTCCACAAGGCTCGCTCGCTCGTCGCCACTCGACTCGTTCGCAGCCGCGGACACAGATACTGCTGCAGCGAGCGCCTCCGAGCTGCTCACCACACCGCGCGCCGCCGCGGCAATGGCGTCCATCGATCTAGACGCCGACATGCGCTTCCGCGGACGGGCTTCGCCGTCCCTCTTGCGCCTTCCTCCCGTCGCTCCGCTACCGAGTTGCCCAGCCTCGCCCGTGGAAGCGCCTCCTCGGTCGCCAGGTGCTCGAGGAGGCCGGCATCTTCGAGACCGCCAGCCTGCGGCTGGCTGCTGCTACTGCGGCTGCTCGCCGTCGGCTCCAGCGTTGGCAAGCCGGCTCGCGGCGAGCCCGGGTCGGTCGGCGGATGGATGTAGGCGTCGGACCAGCGCGGGTCGCGGGCGAGCATGCTCTCGATGCCACCGACGCCTGCGCCTGCGCTCGAGCTGCGTGCACCGCCTGACGATGAGCCCGAGCTCAGCGAGCGCGGCACAGAACCAGAGCCCCGAGCCGCTGGGCCCATCCACGGTGGGGCGGCGACGACTGCTGCCGCGCGGGTGCTCTGGCTCGAGCCGCGGCGACCAAACACGGCCCGGCGGCGGGAGCGGACGTTCTTGACCACCCGCCCGCTCGGCGCCTCGCCAGCCCGGAACGGGTAGCGAACCAGTGCGGCGAGGCCTGGCGGCGCTGGCGGCGCCACAAAGCCGGGCACGAGCACCTCGTTCTCGATGGCGTGCTGCCACTCGAGGCGGCCAGCACCCGAGCGGACGGCAAGCACCGACCACGGCGACGCCGGATCCGGTCGCTCGATGGTGTAAATGGCGCCGCCGGCACCACGCTGGGCCCATATGGCTACAAACCGCGGGACGTCGACCGTGCCGAGCGCGTGCTCGCTCTCGTCGCGCCCAACCAATGAGCCGGCATACAGCATCGACGGCAGGAGCGCATCGGCGGTCCACAGTAGCATCCGCGCGTGGCGTGCAAGCAGTGGGCGGGTCTCGGCCACAGCCGACGCGTCAAAGACGCGCCACACGGCGGCACAAATCCGGGCGTGGACGCCCGGTCGCAGCGTGGCAGGCACCACCGCGGCCACTTCAAGAACCGCACGGACACAGAGCGAGAGAAGAAGCGGCGGCGAGCCCGAGTCAATGATGTCGGACGAGGTTAGCGTGAGCGCAAAGGCCGAGAGTATAAAGTGGAAGAGACAGTCGAGCTCGACTTCACCAAGCCCGGCACAGACGCCGTCGACCCGACAGAGCCGGAGCACAAACCGCAGGAACGGAACAAGCCGCCGCGGCGAGTCGACCACCCGCGCCGTCTCTTTGCTGCTCCGGCTCTTCGGCCGCCGCGCAAACGGGAAGAGCTCATTAAGGAGCGCGGTGACGTGGGCCGCCGACCGCGCGCTCGCCATGCTTGTCGTCGCGCTCACCAGACTCGGCACATGGCGGAGGAGCTGGCTCCGCCACCGCCCACAGTTCATGAGCGCCCGCAGCGCCCGCAGAGCCGCATGTACCACAGCCATCGAGCTCGAGCTAAGGCCAACGTGAAGCGCAAAGAGAATGCGGTCGCCGAGCGCAGCACTGCCTTCGTCGTGGCTCGACCCGCGCTCGCTGCTGCCTCGGATCGAGACGGCCTCGGGCCACAAGCGGACAAAGAGGGCATCGACTCGGGCGTTGAGGGCATCGGCATCGGGCGTCACTGCCGGCGGCACCGCCACCGACCCGAGGTAGCCTGGACGGGCGGTGGCGAGGGCAAGGAGCTTGGCGAGGAGTGAGAGGCCGGCAGTCCGCAGCGTGTTGTCGTCGGCGGCCGGCACGCCATCGACCGACGCCGCAAACTGGCTGCCGCCGAGGAGGGCACATACCCGTGCCAAAACTGAGTGAACGTCGACACAGCCCATGACAGCCGAGTTGGAGACGAGTCCCTCGAGTCCCGAGAGCGCAGCCGAGAAAAGCTCGATCTTTGGCTCGGCCACCAAAAAGTCTAGCAGCGCGTGGAGAAGCGGCGTGAGGTCGAGGAGGCCCAGCGCGTACCGCCGCGCCTTGTCCGAAGAGCAGGTGAGGAAGACCGTGGCCTGGTCGCGCCACGTAATCTGGTACCCGTCGTCGGCCGAGATGCGCAGAACGGCCTGCATGAGCACTGACCGCGCCGAGAGGTCAAGGCCAAGCGCAGACGCCTTGGCCAGCAGTCGGAGCAAGCAGCCGTACACGAGGCGGACATGATCGACTGGCAGCCGCGCGAGCTTGAATTCGAGGAGATACACGAGCGCGTTGAGGCTGGCCAGCGCTGCGCTTGAGCCCTGCAGCGAGGCGTGGCTCGGCGTGGCTTTGCGACTACTCACTAGCGGCGTGACCAGGACTCTCACGAGGCTGTGGAAGACGTCGCCGACGGCATCCTCGGCAAGCCGCCCGAGAAGGCCATACAGTTCGCTGATAAGCGCCGAATCTTCAGGCACGGCCTCAAGCGCCTCAAATGCCGGCAGCAAGGCACGAACAAGCAGTGCCTCGCCGTAGCCGTGGCGAAACGCGTCGTAGAGCTCACCGACGCCGCGGAGCGCACGCAGCACTACCGCCGGACGCGACTCGTGGACCAGGAAGCCGAGCGCAAACGCCCGCGCCGAGACAAGCCAGTCCGGGACGAGTGGCGAGAGGCGGGCAATGAGGTGGTCGGCGAGCGCAACGCCGCCGCGGACGCTCAGCACGGCCTTGTACTGCATTAGCAGCAGTAGGAGGAGCTGCGGTGGGTGGCGGGCCGAGCCGCCGACGGCCGAGGCGGACGACTCGCACGAGGTAAACGGGTTCGAGTAGGCTGAGAGCAGGATGTTCTCCAGAGCGCCAAGAATGGCCTTAAAGTTGGCGGCAAAGCCCGGGGCAGCCTGCGGCGGCGGCGACGCGAGCTCGGAGGAGATCTTGCGGGTTGATGACGCCGAGAACCGCGACCGCGAGTTAGCGTGCGAGAGCGGCGAGACCGGGGTCGAGAACGACGGCGTCGCTGCCTGCGAGAGCTCGGGCGACGAGAGCGTCATCGACCGCGACGAGAGCGAGGTTCGCGCCTGCGGCCGTGACGCGCTGGGCGATGTCTGGCCTGACCCCGGTTCGTACTCGGAGGTTGGCGAGAGGAGCGGGTCGCCCGACTCACCCGAGTCGGAGAGCATCATTCGCAGCCGCGACTCGTCGCCGCCGCTGGTTGGCAGGTTGCGAAGGAGGAGCGAGACCGAAAACGTCTGCGGCGAGTCGTAGAGCTCGGCAAACCACGAGAGAACAACAACAAGCTCGAGCACGCTGTCAAAGTGCTCGGCGCGGCCGACTTCGGCCTCGATGATGCGAAGCAGGGCGAGTGCAATCTCGGTGAGGAGCGGATGCGAGACAGCGAGGTCGGCCGGCGAGAGCGGTGCGGCAAGGTGACGCCGTAGCGTCCGCCGCGCCAGCCGGATCAGCGCCGCCAGCAGCGGGCCAAGCGGCTGCGGCGGTGCGTCGTCCGGCGGGTCCAGCGCAAGCCGCGTGGCAAAGAAGACCGTTCCGCGGAGGACCTCGATGACCCGCAGCGGGTTCGACGCCTTGTCAATAATGGCCAGCAGCGACGCCATCACACCCGTGTTCCCCTCGCGATGCATGACCTCAACTAGGAGCCGAAACGCCACCACAGTGTAGTCGGGGAGCGCTACAAGCCGCGCCAGTGCCACCACAACCGGCGTCCGCAGGCCTGGTGCGCCATCGATGACACAAGCGACAGTCACGGCCGGGTCGAGACACACAAGACATGCGTGGGCGAGGGCGTCAAATGAGGTCCGTGTCGCGAGGCCCACCACACACTGGACCAGCGTTCGCAGGTGGGCCTTGTCGATCACGTGCGCCGAGGTAGAGAGGGCCAGGTACAAGATCTTGACAAGCCGAGTCAGCGACTGGACATGGGTTGCCGGCTCGCGCGACCACGCTCGCATCCATTCGACAAACGAGTCGACCAGATCCGGCGCATACAGCGGGAGCGCCTTGCCGTCGTGGAGGAGGCGGACGAGGAGTGCAAGCATAAGCTCCGGATCCCGCGACTGGAGCGCGTCGGTGATATGTACGGTGAGCGCCCGGGCGTGGGCAACTGTCAGGCTCTGGTACGCGATGGCGGTGTCGAGCAGGGAGTACACTGCGTGCCTCACCCCGGTATCATCAGCCTCTGCCAGATCGTCGACTGCATCCCAAACCAGCGGCCACTTTGGCAAGACATACAGCGCCAGCACGCGCACAACCAAGCGCAGAGCCCGCAATCGCTTGGCTACCGCCTGGCCCTTGGCCAGTAGTGTTAGACAATCCGCCATCATCTCTGCCGTTGCCGAATCGGTCAGGACCTCTGCCCGCGAGCTCTGCAGCCGAGCCGTCGGTTCCAGAGCAGCCGAAGGGACCGTAGTATCCAGCACAAACAGCGCACCACCACTGTGTGACAGAACAAGAGGAGGAGGAGGAGGAGCATGGGAGGTAGGCGACTGGGGCGGTGATCGAGGCCATGGACGACGTCTTGATAACGATGACGATGGTGACGGTGATGATGGCGGTGATGGGGACAAAGGTGCTGCTGGCGACGAAGAAGACGAAGCCGGCGCCGCCGCTCTTCGTCTGCTCTCACCGGCTTCCACCCGCAAAGTCAGTCTCCGAAGGGTGGCTTTGAACTGCTTCATAAATGGTGTGTACCCGTAGGTGTATGTGGTGGGTGGGGGTGAAGGGGGGGGGAGTGGGGGTGGTGGTGGTGGTGGTGGTGGGTGAGGTGGTGGTGGGCGGCGGGGAGCGTGATCGGGGCGCAAGGGGGAAGGACGGGGGGGGGGGGGAGAGGGTGGGAGGGGGGGGAACAGA